TTTTATCTCTTAAATATTATTTTAAATATTATTATCGATTTTCATCAATTTTTTATCTCCTAGATACCTTATATATAAAAGAAAGAAACGCTAGGGCAACCCTAAGAAACCCTAATGTCATATTTGTAATTTTTTTTCAATTTTTATCAAATTTTTATCTCCTTAATATTATTTTAAATATTATTTTCGAATTTTATCATATTTGTATCCCCTAAATATTATTTTAAATATTATTTTTTATTTTTATCAGATTTTTTTCTCCTAAATATTATTTTTTATTTTTATCAAAATTTTATCTCCTAAATATTATTATAAATCATATATTTTTTTATCAAATTTATATCTCCTAAATAATTTTAAATATAATTTTCAACTTCTTATTGAGACACCCTAGCTTAATCAAACTATTTATTGGAAAGGATCTTATATGCGCTAAAGATTATTTATGTAGAAACATACCTAAACATCTTTATAATACAATTCATCAGTTTGGTTAATATACGCTTGAAGCAATCAAGGAAACCTATATGGTTCAATATAATACCGAGGAGTGGTATGAATGTGGAATTGGAGTTATTACGGAATGATTTTAATCATATTTTATATCCTAATTATTATTCTAATTATTATTTTCATATTTTATCAACTTTTATCTCATTAACATTATTTGAAATATTATTTTTGATTTTTTATCAAATTTTTATCTCCTAACTATTATTTTAAATTTTATTTTTGATTTTTATCAGATTTTTATCTCCTAAATATTATTTTTTGATTTTTTTATCAAATTTTTATCTCCTAAATATTATTTTAAATATTATTATCGATTTTCATCAAATTCTCCTAGATATTATTTATAATAATCTGATTTTCGATTTTTACAAAAAAGGGTAAATAAATCTGATTTTCATCTCTAGCGGATTTTGTGACATCGTTTTACAGAATGTCTGCAATATTTGAATTTTATTTCTTCCCTACCTAAGGCTTCTTCTTTTGGTAACCCGAGTTTAGATTTTGTTTCTTATCTTCTTCTTCATCCTATCGACTGTGTGGCAATTAGTTTACATCTTTTTCCATCATGGCTTATAGGTAATTTCGTTTTGTTAAATTATGTGTTTCATTAATTTATACCAAAGTTTTCAAATTTTATGTATAACAATTATTTCATTTTATATGTTATTGGACATGTTATTAAAAGGGATGATTTGAGAAAATTAACCAAAAATGGGCGGACCCACAAGCTATTGGAAATCGACCTTCAAGACTTATTGTTTGTATGCGATATTTAATTTATTGTTTGTATTTATTTTTGTTTCTTAATTTTCCAATTGTTAATTCCATAGGCAAAACAGCCTTAAAATGAGGCAGTGGAGAAGGGCTTAGTTCCGATGCAAGATGTATAGATGGCCTTTTACGATGGTATGTTGTCGATAGTTTACTTTTGATTATGTTAACTTAGTTATTAAATCTAATTACTTTTAAGCTCAACATGAAAGACATAATTGATGATTTTTTTTTGGTTTAAATTTTCAATCTACTGGTATTAGCTTATTCAATTCATTTAGAAAATTATTCAACAGTAAAGTTATGTCCTTTTTTTTTTGTGTAGTATACTTAATCATGTTCCAGTATAATAGAATTTTGATCATACGATACATCAAACGTTTGTTTATATTCTTACAACATCAAAACAATGCAATTTGTTGTCCCGTGCATCGCACGGGTACAATTACTAGTAATAATAAAAGTAAAAACAAATAGTGATGATGTGGTGTAATGGTGGTATTACCTCGGCCCTTGAAAACGAGAGAGGGAAAAAAGTGTATCGTGGCAGTGCATTCAATTCATGAATAGACAAAAGACGCGTGTCTTGTCGTTTCCTCCCCCTCTACCTCAACTAGTGCTCCACTACACCACTACTCTCCCTCTCTCTCTCTCCTCTTTCTCTCTCTTACTAAACCATTTCCTATTTCATTTTCTCCTCTCTTCTCATATACACCCAAATTATCTCTTTCTCTCTCTCTCTCTCTCTCTCTCTCCCGAATCCCCACCCTTTTCTCAATCCTTTCTTGCAGGTGAGGCACCCTTTTGCCTCTCTCCCGGAGTTCTTTTTCAGATTCATCAATCAGGTATCTCTCTCTCTCTCTCTCTCTCTCTCTAGTAATAATTCTTTTATTTATTTAATTAGTTTTTGCTTCTTCTTTATTTATGTTTTATTGACTTTTCTCAGTCAGTTTCGGATTTGGCAAGAACAAAAGGAATAATACAACTATGGCGGAATCCTCTTCGGTGTCGAATAATCCAGACGGGAATTCCGACCTATCGCGCAAGCGTAGAACAATTGAGCCGGAACACCCAGCCGGCGCCGGAGGAGCTCCCACAGAAGCCGGCGGGCCGCCGAAATGGCGAACTGAAGTCGAGCAACAGATCTATTCGTCGAAGCTCGTCGACGCCCTTCGCCACCTCCGCCGCCCTGAATCCGCCCAGGCCACCAGCAGCGCCGTCCGCGACGCCGCCGACCGGGTGCTCGCCTCCTCCGCCCGCGGCAAAACACGCTGGAGCAGAGCCATCCTCACGCGCCGCCTCAGCCTCCGCCTCGCCCACATCAACAAGAAGCACAAAAGGGCGGCTAAACCGGCCGCCGCCGATTGCCGGAGAAATAAACCGGCCGGTCGCAACGAGCTGCCGCCGTTGCGGAGGAAAGTGAAGGCCTTGAGCCGATTGGTTCCCGGCTGCCGGAAGCTGAAGCTGCCGAACCTTCTAGAAGAAACAACTGATTATATTGCGGCTATGGAAATGCAAGTCAAAGCTTTGACTTTCATCACGGCTCTACTAAATGGCGGCGGTACGGTTACAGCCGCCGCCGCTGCCGCAGCCGGCAGCTCGTGAGTCAATTTTAGTTCTTAGGTGGTTCTTTCTTTTTTCTTTTTTTCTTTTTTTTTATTTGCTTTCAAAATTATTTTTGGGAATGAATTATAGTAATAGTAATTAAGGTTTATGTTAGAATTAATTAGAAGGTTTAAAATATTCGTGTATTTTATAATGTGTATAAATTTGCCTGCGTTTTAATTATTTCTTTTTCTCGAATTATCTTTCTTTGACTTTGAATTGTTTTATCTTTTATGAAATTGGAAAAAGCCAAATTGCCAACTAATATAGGGTGGATTTTTACGTTATTAAATTGTTGATATTAACTTAGGGGTGCAAGTTGGAACAGAATTTCCAATTTCCGCCGGTTCCGATCCGAAAAGTTCCGATTTTGGAACAACTTTTTTCATTCCGACTTCCGAAATTCCGATTTCCGAATTTTTCCGATTTTTTTGGATTGGAATTGGAATTATATAAAATATATTTGGAATTTCCGATTTCCGATCCGATTTAATTCCGATATTATTTCCGATTTTTTTCCGAAAAGTACACCTATAAATAATATATTTTATATTATACTTATTTTCCAAAACAATACGCCTATAAGTTTTGTTTTAGGATTTTGACATAATGAATTGTTGTTAAAAGTTTTATTGGATATTATGTTGTGTTTATATTTATTTATTTTTTTGAACTGAAATTTAGTAATTATTAGTTTTACTTTTATCGATGTGGATGTTCTTACTTTTTTAAAAATATGAACATCCTAGAAAATTTGGCTAAGTTTTGAAATTTTAAAGCTTATGTGATTTCCGATTTTTTTCCGAAATTCCGAAATTTCCGGGTCTTTTGGAATTGGAATGAATTTTTAGATTCCGAAATTTTTGGAATTGGAATTGGAATCGATTTTGTACTTCCGATTTTTTTTGGAAATTTTCCGAAAAGGCTAATTCCGATCCGATCCATCCGACTTTCACCCCTATATTAACTAATTCGTAATTATCTATTAACTTGTTCAATGCTTTATTAGGGCATCTCATGTGGAGGCTCTATACTCCACATGTTTCTTTACTTTAGAGATTTTTATTTTAGAAAAAAAAAAAAAATAGAAAAAAAAATACCAATTGTGGTCGAGTCTCTAAAATACAGAATATTCCAAAAGTTTCTATATACTTTTTTTTAAAAGAAACTCTAATCTATAGTTGTCCCACTGCAAATTAATAAAAAAAATGAAGAAATTAGAACTATTTTTTTGTTTTTGTTTCTTGAAATTTGTACGTTTATTGTTGACAAAAAAAACTATTGAAATTTAAAATTTAAGATAAAATGCAAAGGAAAAATAACTATTGAAAAGGTAATGCACAAAACTAAGATATAATCAAGTTTATAATATGAAATAACTCATAAATTAATACAAAAAAAACAATTTTATAGAGCCCCTTTCTGAAGATTGATACATGAAAGGCTTTCTTAGCTTATAGGAAACATATAATTAATTTGGAAAATGTTCATTAGAATTTTTCTTTTAATTTGATATTATTTTTGGATTAAACTCTTGGATGATGGATGATGCAATTATTTACCGGTCAAAAAAAGAAAAATGACTTTAAAAGAATCCATTTGAATTGAAGTAACTAATATATTATTTATCAAAAAAAAAAGAAGTAATTAATTTATTGTTTCATATTATTTGATAATAAACTTAAGTAGATTATATATGTGATCGGGTACCATGAATTGTAGCATCTACAAGATAGTTGTAGCATTTGCATGACTGCAAGGCCACGTTGAAGTAAGTTGCATAATTAAAATTGAGCGAACATAAATTAAATTACTTGTAATGTCACATTCTTTACAAACACCTTATGTTAAATTAAAGCCAACATAGTTGTAACATTTGCAAAACTGCTAGGCCACGTTGGAGTAAGGTGGTGTTTGCAAATGCTTTTTGAAAGTGATTATGCGATTTTTTTTTGCTCATAATCTGTTTTTAGGTGTTTGCAAAATCTACTTTTGCTTTTACTTCTCTTAAAATAATATGTTTTAAGCTATTTTTTTAAAAGCACCTCTAACCCTGCTTTTTCGATTTTAGTCCGTTTTCCGAAATATTTGCAAACACCCCCAACTTTTAGAAATAAACACTTAAAACTAACTTAAGGTGGTGTCTGCAAATGATTATTTAAAAGCAGAAGTTAGTGATTGTGATTTAAGTTAGTTTTAAGTGCTTGTATCTAAAAGTAGGGGGTGTTTGCCAATATTTCGGA